ATGATCAGGTGTGGATAGTTTTAAAGTTTAGATTTATTCACGCAGGAAGAGTACGTGATCAGGTATGAATAATTACAAACTTAGATTTGTTCACGCAGGAAGAGTACGTGATCAGGTGTGGATTGGGCTCTTCCAACGTGAACAAATCTAAGTTTTGTAACTGTGATCAGGTGTGGATAGTTTTAAAGTTTAGATTTATTCACGCAGGAAGAGTACGTGATCATGTGTGAAGATTTACGCCAGTTTGCTGTAGATCTCATTTCGATGTGTGAATCCCAGCTTGAGGTGAAACTTGTGCTCTCTCAAGAGTTCTCCGATACCAGAAATATTCACACAGTTTACCCAACTCTCTATTTGGCCTTAGAACTCAGTCAGAAAGAGGTGAGGTATCCTGAATCGTTTTCTAAGATTTGGTTTTATAAGAAATATAGCCGTGAAACATGTAGTCATTTCATAACAAAATGGTAAAATAAATTGTAATCTAATGTTTCTAATTATTCAAAACGAGCATGTAGAATGTATATTTTAATACTTAAAGTTTCATAAAGTTGTTTGTCTAATGTACTTTAAGAATCCACTTTTTAGCAACTTATTAAACCTTACGTTCGATAGTTATGACAATGAAGATTTCATTGATTGTAAATATTGTTGTAGCATTGTTCTTTCTTTGTTTTATATTATTAGGTGAAAATAATTCGAAGTCTAATCCACGTAACGATAAGAAATTACTTTATGCATTTTCTTGACGGTTTTAGAAGCTGTTTTCACTTAAAAACTATTATAACTAGTAGGCCTACCTTTACAAATGGCGTTCAAATGGAAATACTTCGGTAATGGTACTAAGACGAAAGTAAAAATATGCTTACTTGTATAATATCACGGCTAGCCAATCGAGTAACTAAATATACGAGATAACTAACACTGATACAAATATTTCATTAAAACTAAATACTTCAAAGACTGAATCACTGATAGGCTACTAACTGACTGGCCCACTAGTATTTATATCTGATGTGACACATCTAGATATTCGTGAGAATCACTAGACTTTCATAACTATGAAGCCCCTTGAACAATCCTTGTACAATAATAAAACACTACACTAATCTCTCCATCCACCAACTTATTTGATGGATTTCTCTTCTGAGGCCCATGGTATAAAGATGTGGGTTGCCTTGTGTCCAATTTTGTCACTGACTGCTCTGTTGTTGTTCTTCGTTCGATGATAGTCGAGTGAATTTACTGGAGGTCTATTCTTGTTGATACCCTGGAAGTGATCTCGATAGGAACCCAAGGTCCCTTAGCAGGTTGAGTTTCTTCTGACACTTCTTCCCTGGGGTTACCACTTGGCCATTTTCTCACCAACGTACTTCCAAAGACTTCCATTGCGGACGACCTTTGGTTTGGATCACCTATTCTTCTGGATTCTGTAGACCACATCATTGATTTTTTTCAGTAGAATATATGACCCTTTCAGCACTTTCTTAACTTTAAAGTTTGTTTTTCTTGCAACAGAGATTGTACAGCCATGCTTGATGGAACCCAGTCTTATCAGCACTAACATTATAGTTCCTTTTATCACTAGCTAATTTACGTCTTTCCTAGGTAAATTATTGTATAACATCAATGGTGCAAGTTAATCTCTCTACTTATTTTGTGTAATACTCTTTTAACTAACTAATCTCTGGATGCCAGTACAAAAGATCCAATGCCACTTTAAGTTCTCTCCCAACATCAGTAATGATGCTATGTTGCCTGTAGCTTCATGTACTGTTATATGATAACTCATCAGTAACAGTGGAAGATCTTGATCCCACATTTTTGATGTTCATCTAAATAAATGCGTAATTGGTTCAAAAGGTATCATTGTACCTCTCCGCTCTGCCATCAGAATATGGATGAAGGATTGTTGTCCTGGTTTTTTATCCCAAGGATCTCACATATTTTTGCAAATAAGGTTGATTCAAAGTTGCTTCCCTGATCTGAGTACAGTTTCATTGGTACACCAAATATTGAAACCAATTTTTTTATTTCCTTGATATGAGCAAAGTTTCATAGGTACACCAAATCTTGAAACCATTTTATTTTTACTTCCAAGACCTGAGTAAAGTCTCGTAGGTACACCAAGTCTTGAATCAATTTTTTACAAGTTTTCTTGCTAGAGTTTCTGCTTCCTGGTTAGAAAAATCACACATTTATGGCCATTTTGCTAAATATTCTGTCGCAACCACCATGAATTTACTCTCACAGTTACTCTATAGCAGAGGACCAAGCATCTTACCAGCAGCTTTCTCGAGTAGTGCATCAACACAGTGTTTCACTCAGGTTATCTCTTTCGTGGCCTTATTCTAGCAAACATTTATGCACAACAGGCTGTTGAAGAACACATATGTGTGTATTATGTAGATCTAACAGGGTAAGCATGTTACTGCATCTGTCTACATTGCATTAATCTGTGTTGTATTATCTTAGAAGAAACATTATTCCATTCTGATTAGATTGCTTTGTTGCTGCTCGTCTTTTGTTACATTACACTGTGACATTGATGGAAGCCAGTCATTAAATTGATAATGATACAATCTTTACCTTCAAGATGTTCTTTGAGAACAATTTTATATTTTGTTTATTGTAGTTTCATGCCAGTACTTGTGTTTATTCGTTGTTCTACATTTGTTAATTATGTTGAATAAGTTCAATGTGGTAGTTGGGTGGAGAAAAAAGTCAACGTAGAAGTTAGCTGTTGAAAAACATGTAACATTTAACTGAACGCATACGCACGTATGCAGTTTAAAGTCAACTTTTCATAAATGGACATAAAAACTTTAGAAACAAGATTAATAAAAATTGATGATTTAAAAAGGGGGGAATAGGGATCGCCAAAAATGTACAGAAACAAGTTGAATTAAACCAGGGGCTCTTAAAATGTAAACAACAACAACAACAGCAAAAAAGGCTGGAAATAGTTTCTACATTATTTTCTCAAGCTACAAATCCCTATTTTCACTCCAATAAAATTAGAAGTACTGTAGACATTGAGTCAAAATAGAGATTTGTAGCTTGAGAAATTAATGTATACACTATTTCCAGCCTTGTTTGTTTACTTTTTAGAGCCCATAGTTTTAGGCTTGAATCGTTTCTTTAACAGTTTTTTATTTAATGTTATTTAAAAGATAAAATGTTGTTGTTTTTTCTGTCATTAATAAGATGTTTTATATTTTTTTAAAGTTTGTCGCCCACTCAAAGGTTCAGCAGCTGGTACAGAGTGAATGGCTTGGTTATTGGTTGACTTGGGCTCACATTACCCTGGTGGTGAAAGCTGCATATCTGCTTGTGAGGTTGATAACATTTCCTTTTATTTGCCTCTTTCCCCTGTGTCTTCCTAAGTCCAAACTGACAGCAAAACTTCTAAGTCCTGTTGGTAGATGTTTAAATGACATGGCTTGTTATATCATCTTCTGCGTTTTGGTGTTTACATTGATTAACTTAGACAAAACTCGCAGCGGCCGTGGGCCGCCAAGGACGGGTAAGTGAACATGAAAGGAAATGTGATACTTTATTCAAATTACAATTGTAGTATCATCATTCGACAAGATGAATCAGCAACCATAAATAGATTTCACATTTTGAGAAGAGTAGAAAGAGCACATTAACAAAAATACACACTCTTGAGATATACATGAAAGTTAACTAATTATTTTGTACCTTATCAATAATTTCATATAAAGCTTATAACTTTGGAAATACTACAGATCATATTGCATTTTAATAGGTTTAAACTTTTTCTGATTGTTAAAAATAAAGGTATAATGTTTAATTAAATTAATGCTTCCATAATAACCACGAGCAATTCACAAGCGGTACTATTTTATCTCAATTAAGTCAGTTAAGCTTGTTTCTGCTTTGGTTTCAAGGTATTTTGTCTCCATATTTTTAGGACTTGAATGGGTGATAGTCATATGGGTAGCTGGCTTTATCTTGAACACCATGCGGTATATGTGGATAAGGGGTGTGAAAATGTACTTCAGAACCATGTGGAACTGGTAAACTCTCGTTTTTAGTGTATGTGTCTATAACAAACTATACTTTTAAATGTAAGCCTAAGAGCTGATCATTTATCTATTCCTGTTTGCTAACATTAGGTACGATATACTGATGGAAGCTGTGTTTCTCATGACATTCGTATTCTGGATCAAGGCGTATTTTGACTCGGATGATGGCAATGAACGAAAGTACTGGCCCAGTTTTGATGCGACCTTAATCCATGAAGGCTTGCTGGCGATTGCCAGCATTCTAGCGTGTGGCCGCCTTATGTATTTTTGTCAACATAGTCGATTGGCCGGGCCTTTTCAGGTGGAAATTAGAATTAAGTGCTTATTGTCTTAGATTAGGGTTAATCACAGTTGTATATATATATTTAGGGTGATCTTTTATAGAAGATGAAGCGAAGTTAGGCTATTTGAATCTGAGCAGGGTTAATCAAGTTATGAGGGAGCGCGGTAACGATCCCTATGTAGGGATGGGCCCGGTTAGAAATGGTAGCTTGCACATTTCGTATGGTAGCGCGTACGCTAGGACGTCAGTAAAAGTTAACCAAAGGGATAGAGACGGAAAGCCTTTTATTAACCTTCTTACGTCTAGAAAACTGACCGAAAAAATATCGATTTTCTTCTCCCTCTCAGGCAGTTATAACTTGTAAACCACAGTGTGCTCACTCCCAGCCTGCGCACCAAAACATTTCACTGCTCCCTAAGATGTGCCTAGAGGTTAGTTACAGCCCAAAATATATAAAATGATACAGATTGTTTAATATTCCCAAATACGCATATCAATCAGTAGATGGCGCGACCTGCTATGTTAATATCATCAGATTCTTAACATATGAAACATGTAAGTTGTAGGTTTATAGTAAGCACTTACTGTTACGTCAGTTATGACAATTAAGAAATTTCTGCTAGTGTAAAAAGTTTTATTTCGTTGACTTCTTGATAGTTCAACTTAAAAAAATACAAATAACAAGCACGTAAAGGTCGTTTTATTGAATCTGTCAGCACACATTTCTGTTTGTGTGTGTTAATAGAAATTACTTGAGATGTAACGTTGAGCATCACCTATTGGAAGAAAAAACACCTATCACTTGACATGTGACGTTGTCTTCCATCTATTAGAAGAACAAAATACAGTCACTTGACATGTGACGTTGTCTTCAATCTATTAGAAGAACAAAATACAGTCACTTGACATGTGACGTTGTCTTCAATCGATTAGAAGAACAAAATACAGTCACTTGACATGTGACGTTGAACATCACCTGTTGGAAGAACAAAATACAATCACTTGAGATGTGACGTTGAACATCACCTGTTGGAAGAGCAAAATAGAGTCACTTGAGATGTGATGTTGTCCTCAATCTGTTAGAAGAATAAAATACAGTCATTTGAGATGTGACGTTGTCCTCAATCTGTTAGAAGAACAAAATATAGTCACTTGAGATGTGACGTTGACCATCACCTGTTGGAAGAACAAAATGTAGTCACTTGAGATGTGAAGTTGACCATCACCTGTTGGAAGAACAAAATACAGTCACTTGAGATGTGATGTTGTCCTCAATTTATTAGAAGAATAAATACAGTCACTTGACATGTGATGTTGTCCTCAATCTGTTAGAAGAATAAAATACAGTCACTTGAGATGTGACGTTGTCCTCAATCTGTTAGAAGAACAAAATACAGTCACTTGAGATGTGACGTTGTCCTCAATCTGTTGGAAGAACAAAATACAGTCACTTCACATGTGACGTTGTCTTCAATCTGTTAGAAGAATAAAATACAGTCACTTGAGATGTGATGTTGTCCTCAAATTATTAGAAGAATAAATACAGTCACTTGAGATGTGATGTTGTCTTCA